AAAAAAAAAAAAAAAAAAAAAAACCATCAGTGGTTACCAAGGGTTGAGGGAGGGGAACTTGGGGTGTTACTGTTTAATGGGTACGGAGTTCCAGTTTGGGGTGATGAAGAAGGTTCTGAAGATGGGTGGCAGTGATGGATATACACCAACATGGAGGTACTTAATGCCGCTGAACTGCACACCCAGAAACGGTTAAAGTGGTCAATGTTACGTTATGTGTATTTTACCACAAGGAAATTTTTTAAAAAATGTTATTGGCCTCAAAAATGAAAACACATAGAAGTACGTTATTCGTTATAAACTCTTGTTCATCTTAGACCAGTGATAAAAATCCTTCAAAGCAACTATGTCAAAACGAGCACCCTAGCTAGATTAAATGGATCGCTAACATAACGAAAACATTTTGTCACTGCTGAAAGCCACTCGTCAGGCCAAGAACGTATACCTATTGCATTTTATACACACACATGTGTTTATGGCTAAGATAATAATAAACTGTGTCACCATATCTTTATTGTCAGATGGTAAAAGAAACCATGATGGGGACCAATACCCAATGCAGACTTGAGAACCCGGTTACTACAGAATTACCAGACTTACATGCAATCTCCAGGTAGGCTAACAAAACGGTTGGGAGAACAGTCTGTATTTCGCGTCTCCCATACACACCCTCTCCCATTACCCCCGGAAAACTGGGCTAATTTCCGTTTGCTTACCACCAGTCCTAGTACGAGCGTGCGGACTCTCTCTCCTATCTCTGGAGAAATGTCATTGCCAAACTGCTGCAGGGTAGTAAGGAACCGTTTCAGCTTACTGAGTTGCCTGGCGCCACAGGCTGGGGGCAGCTGTTGATTAGCCAGAGAAGAAGAGGAAGAGGAGGAAGGCCCATTGCTAAAGCCATTGGGCGGTGAGGGGGCGCCATTCAAGGCTGTGGGTGAATGGCTCGTGCCATTGGTTACTGTCAAGAGCACAAAATAAGAAAGAAAAACAAGTAAATCAACGCAGAGGGAAAAGGCACAAGGAAATTACAATCAAGTGTCGTTCCCTTTAAATCTGGAGGATCCTGTGGTTTGGGAAACCGGGGGGGGGGGGGGGGGGGGGGGGGGGGGGCTTTTCTGTCAAAGGCTTTGGCTTCCCAGGGGTACCACGGGTTCAGGTACTCTAGGACTGGATGGCTCTCCCCTCCTCACACTGTGTGCCGGTACTCCACGCGGAAGCGGAGCCCCCATGGGAGTCGGCTGTAACCCGGGGACAGCCCTGCCTCCCGTGCACACATATGCCAACCACGTGAAATGTCTCAAACACGGAACAAACAGCGTTTTTGGATGTCAGCCTTCTGTCACAGGCTGACATCAATATAGCGGGACTGTTCCTCTCTAAACTGTTCCCCTAGAGAAAGTGTACATTTGGTGGAGACTAAATTCATCACTGAACATTTTTAATCATGTTTTGTACACACAACTGACAGCTGTGTTTATAGAAACAGGACTTTCAAGTTTTAACCTTATACCACCCAATTAGAAGGCTATTTTCTCCCCCTCATATTTCTTAACCACTTCTTTAGGGAAGATGCAAATTTTATATAAGAAGCCAAATGGATATGGTAATTATCAGAGAGTTAGTTCAAGAAATCGGAAAGGGACATCTCGTCCCAACTAATAGCGTGGATTGGCGGTAATTTGACAACTTTGTTTCCGATAAAATGTATCTGAACACCGAGATAATTCGTAAGAACAAGACTAGAGAATTTTGCGCATTTCTCACTAACGAAAATGTTGATTTTATCATATTAAAATCAATAAATTCGACCAACTCCACTTTATCCAACTCATCTATTACATGTAATTTTGACAGGTTATCTCCAACAGGAGTTTGAAGATGCCTGAAGCACTCTATCATTCTTAAAAGTTTCCAGATAATACAATAGCCCCTTGTCCCAAACGAGCATCAAAGCAACCTGTCATGAAATGACTGCTCACTAGGACCTCTCACAGAAGACATGTGCCCATCACTGTGGCTCTGGGTAACGACAAACCAGATACGAGATGACGGGGTCGCAACTTGGTGCCGCTGCAGCCTTCTGTTCCTTACACGTTTGGAAAGGCCTTTAAGTGGCAGCGCCACGCCGCATAAACAGCCTGGGATGTGTATTCTGCCAATCCCTTATAATCCCATGGATCTAGTTTTGCCTGTGATTGTTCATTCATACAGACTTGATGACACATGATCTGTAAATAGTACTATCTGCAACAGATAGCATTTATTAGTTTCACAAATCCTTTAGGACAATTTTACCCGGGACTTTGAAACCGATGGAAACAAAGCTATCCACTATCCCTGCTGGAATCTACAGGAAAGGAAGGGAAGTGGCTGTTCTCTCGGAATGTTCTGTCCTTTCCTCGGACAACCCAGAAAGCCAATACACGCCACTGATTCAGGACACAAGGCCTGAGCCGAGTTGGAATCGAGTAAAGGTTTAATAAAAGTCTGACAGGCTCAAGACAAGAAAGATGCTCCTTCTTTCAGAAAGTTTTCTGTATGTGACTGTCGCCCAGAGCAATACCCCTTTTTCACGTAAGGCTGCTAGCTTTGAATCTTATTTGTAAATACCAGAAGAAAGTGGTATTAGAAGACCAGAAGCAACCTGGAAATAATTGTAGGATATTAACATGTTCCAAGGCAAAATGTACAAGCTAAAGTAAGGAGCTACACATTAAGTCAAACTAAAAATTACGGTGGTAACAAATGAAGCCGCAGCCCAAACGAATGCAATAGTCTTCACTGCGGAAATCAAAGCAGACTACAACTGTGAAGCAAAAATGGAAAGGCAGGCAAATATTGGCAGTCATACAAATTATACCTAAGATGCTGTACGTCTGCGCAGGCTCAATACCTACTCACTGGCAATTAAA